TAAATTATCCAATGAATAATAGGTTACTTTATACTTTTCCTACTGCAAACTTCAGATTCTATTTTTCCAATCAACTCTGTCAGTTATTTATCATTTTCAATCTTCTTTTTAGATTTCAAAATTGATTTGTTTTCCCCTCTTCTTTTTTATTTTGTAATTTTTTCAAAATTTTACAGTCTGTCTTCATTTTTCTAGAGCTATTGTAACAAAGTACTACAAACTGGATAGGTTAAACAACAGAAATTTATTGTCTCACTGTTCTAGAGGCTAAAAGTCTGAAATCAAAGTATCAATAGAATTAGGTTCTTCTGAGGACTGTGAGGGAGAATCTGTTTCATGTGTCTTTCCAACTTCTGATAGCCTCAAGTGTTCTGTAGTTGGTAGATTTCATTCTTCCTGTGTCTTTACATATTCTTTCCTTTATGTATGTCGGTCTCTGTGTCCAAATTTCTCCCCTTTTATAAGAACATCAGTCATATTGGATTAGGGTATACTCTAATGACCTAATCTCAATTTAATTATCTGAAAAACCCTGCTTCAAAACAAGGACACATTCACTGGTACCATCTTTTTGGGAAACACAATTCAACTTACTGCACAGTCATTTTAGTGGTGTTTCAGGAGATAGTAAAGCTAATATATATTTATTCCACTATCTTAAATCAGAAGTGTATCTTTTGCTCCTTTGATGAAGCTATCCTGCATATTTTGAGTCTCTACTTTGTGTTATAAGATAACCAAAGCACTGAGGATATAAAAACAATATAATATGCTGTTTTGTGTTCTTCTCTGAGATGGTCAGTCAGGTGAGGCCATTATAGGAGAAAGAGAAAAGGTTCAAGAAAACAAAGTTTACTATACTCACAAATTGTAGAGACAGCATGGAAAAGATACCAAGACATCCAGGAGGCAGAAGACAGGAGCGAGGGGAAAGTTTAGGCAAGAGCCTTCACTGGGGCTTCCACAGAAAAGACAAACAAAGCAAACAGTTTAGGATTGGCTAGTTTGAATAATTTCCTTGGGCTCTAAATCATAGGGATTGTTCCTAGTTGCCTAGTACCTGGGATATACAGGCTGCGTATGAGGCTAAAGAAAGAAAAGTAGCCAGATTATCAATATTCTATTTCCCTTCAAAGGAATTTAAAACTTTCTCCCAAAGACTAGAGAACCCTGACGACTGAATGTTATTAAGAAGAGAAATTATGGAATGAAATATGGTTTGATTACATTTATTCTGGCATCAGTGGGTTCTCTCTTTCTTCCCTAGAAGTGACAAGGGCAAGACTGAAGATCAATTACTAATGTGTTTGAGTAATAGTGCTGATTTTAATGTCCTAGGATATTTTACACTTCCTCCACATAGAGGTAGAGTCCCTTTGAATCTGGGAAGAACTTCGTGACTGCTTTGAAGAACAGAATGAGGCAGAAGTGCCCTTTGAAACTAAAATGATTAGGTTATGAGGTCATGCACTCTCTGCTGATTCCTTTTCAAAAATCTGTTCAGAAAGCCCCCAGCTACCAAGGAAGAGGTTGGACTAGCCTGCAGCTACCATGAGAAGAGATCTATAGTGAGACTATATGTAGAACAAAAGAAGATTTTGTCACCAGTCTTCATATGACTAAAACCAAACAAGATCCCAAGAAAACACTGCCTAGTTGAGCCCCATAACTTTAGATTTATGAACAAAAGAGATGTCATTGTTTTAAGTCATTGTTTTGAGGTGGTTATACAGCAATAGACAGCCAGAACTATACGCCAAATAAAAAACAATGAAGACTAAACAAAGGTGGTTGCAGTTCTGATGAAGCAATGTGAGCCTACTGAAATTATTAAAAAGGAAGATCCATCCGTGCACAATCCTGGAAACATATTCCTGGTCTTGGAGCCAATCAATCTCATCCTGGTGGTATTTGTCACTTGTTTTGTGCATGGCTTATTTAAAAATTCAAATTAAATAACAAAATCTTTGGTTTATATTCCAAGCTTAGCAAGCAAATTTAGCAAATGACTGCAAATGGAACCTTTAGCTATTATATTTCTCATTGGAGATCAATACACTGAAATTCTGGTTTTATATATCAGTTTAAATATGACAACATAAAAGTCCTTGAATTTAAAAAAAATCATACTTATCTACAGAGGATGCCAAAAAAAAAATGTGTACACATTTTAAAAAGGGAAAAATCTGTATTAAAATTGTAATACTCAATAAGATGAATACAAGTCTGTTTGACTTTTGCAATTACAAGAGGTGCTCAAAGTGGTTACCATCGGACCATCAGCGTCCAGACACTTCTGATTATGCCAAACATCTCTGAATATCTCTTTAAATGTGTATACATTCTTTTAGCATTCCAGGTATATGGTCAATTCCGGTTGTTTTCAGATTCTATGCTCAATTGGGAAAAGATATAAAAAGTATTTGGGGGGCAATCGAGGAAATAAAAATATACAATCTACATTAGATAATGTTGGAAAATACTGTCTATTTTTTAGGTGTAATAGCAGTATTGTGATTATGTAGAAGCATATTCTGGCTGGGAGTGGTGGCTCATGCCTATAATCCCAGCACTTTGGAAGGCCATGGTGACAAGATTGCCTGAGCCCGCAGGTTCGAGGACAGCGTGGGCAACTTGGTGAAACCTCATCTCTACAATAAATCAAAAAATTAATTGGGCCTGGTAGCACGTGCCAGTAGTTCCGGCTACTTGGGAGGTTGAGGTGGATGGATCGCCTGAGCCCAGCGGGTCAATGCTGTGGGAGCGTGTCACTGCCCTTCAGTCTGGGTGATGGAGTAAGACTCCAACCCCCCAAAAAAAGAATATATATTTTTTTGAAAGCAGGATTTATTAAGAGAACAGACAAGCTCCCACAGTGAGAGGGGACCTCAGGGAGTTGCCCAGAAGCATATTCTTAGAAGAAATATACTTAGTTTTTTGTGGTGGTATCAGACATTTGAAATTTACTTTCAAATGGAAAAATATGTAGGTGGTAGGTTCATTGGAGTTCATTATACTATTCTTCAAAATGCTCTACATGTTTGAAAATATTCATAAACATTTTTAAAACTAATATTTGACAACAAAAATATTAGAATGTTACAAAAATTTTTGAAAAGAATTTTTGAGAAAATGTGAACTTTTAATGTAGTAATTTTTTGTGGTTAAATTAAAAATTGAATATTTTTATCTGATTAAATGAGATAATTTAAAATTTGCAATTTGCCTCTGTATAATAATTCTAAATGTCATGCGGAGAATAAAGGTGAAGAGCAAACTTTGAAAACTGACAGATTATGTATTCTCAGATAAAGTATTAGCATTTAGAAAGCCTGTGGCAAAGGGATTAACCAATATTTCATCTGCAAATTGTTTTTCACATATAAACTGCCACTGTGCTTTGGTATTTTAAAATAAAGGTTAAAATTGGCATTTTAGTAGCTATGCTTGTTTCTAGTAGATTTGATCAGAAAACAACACTCTTAAAATTCTAATCTCCATCATTATCACCTTTCTCAACTGGTTGCAAAAAATTCCCTTAAAAGATTTATCTGTATTAGTATCAAAGCTGAGTGACTGGAAATAAAACTATTTTCAACTTGAAAATAGGCTTAACATTATAAACATATAATGTGAAAAAACATTTCATGGATTTTTCCATACAAGAAAATGAATGGAAAGACGCCACGGAGAAAAATAATTAACATTAAGAAGTGTGACTATGCAATTCATTTTCTTATGCCAATAATGCAACTTAGTTCCTTTTATTTTGTGCGGGTGTTTTTGCTTTTGTTTTTTTTTTTAATAGTTAGAGACATGGAGACTCTGATAGAAGAGGGTGTTTTTGTTTTTGTTTTTTTTTAAATAGAGACATGGAGACTCTGATAGAAGAAAATAGGCTATGAGGCTGCTGTTGTCTAAAATTTTTCAGAACTCAGTTGATTAGCACAGAGCAAAGTAATCCTTTCTTACTCTTTGTCTTTACAATTTCCGCTGCCCTTCCCCTAAGGACCCTTGGAAACCTTGCCAATAACAATGATTGGAAAGGCCTTTGTCCTTTGGTCTTATTGGGGAATGGGGGAGCGCCAAAGAGGGGTTTCAGGGGCACCTGCCTCAACGCCCAGAGTCTCACAAGCATTGCAGGAAGCGCTTTCTATATACCTATCTATTTTCTAACCACTAAAACTAAAAAAAAGATGTTTGAGAAGTACCAAGTTAATCACCTAAAATGCTCGATACTTTCTTTTCCAGAAGACCGGTTTAACTTCTGTATTAATAGCAGCAAATGATTTCTGTATTTGCATGTCATCACTGACATCACTTCGTTGGACCATGGTTGCACTTCGTGCCCTTCACCTTACACATCTCTTCAAATTCCTGAGTCACGCTCTGTTTATGTGGCTGTTCCAGAAGCACACTGCGGCTCGGCCCCAAACTCAACGACGCCTCGTGGGGAAGGAGGGATCATGGCAGCAGGAAGCCAGCCCGGCCCTGGAGGTGCAAGGCGGGTGCACCCGATCAGGCAAAGGGCAAGCACGGGACACTTCTGCATTGGCCAAAGGAATCCCAGGAGGCCCGGCCCTTTTCAGCGCAGACTCCACATCCCAGCAAGCTGGAAAAGCCTGGGTTTTTGCCCTTTGTATTTGTTTTGGGACACAACCAAGAAGCAGCAGAGGAGAGAGAGGTAAGGCGGCATCTTTAGCACACTTTTTGGTCTTAAAACCATATTTAACATCAGAGTCACACTAAAATAACAACCCAAACGATGTCATTTTCGCAGTGGAATCGACTTCGGAAAGGTTTAGGCGGAAGGAAAACACACCGAAATAGACGAAGCCTCCGTCCCCCCCCCCCCCCCCCCCC